CAATCACACAGCGAGCGCCAACTCACCCCCGAGCTCAGCACGCAAGCACTCAGCATGCATATACGCTCCGCCCCCCAGGTGCAGTTCCGCAGCGGCAGGGTCGGCGTCACTGGCAGCAACGTCAGCCTGAAGTACATCGCGGGCGATGAGGCCGACAAGGCCAGATTCTCACCGACGCCCTTCTCGACGCCCTCCTCCGCGCTCTCTTCATTTTCGCCCCTGCCTCGACGCCCCCTCCGCCCCCTGCTGCCTCGTTGCGCCCGATCGCTCCGAGGCCAGGGCCATCGCGGAGGCGGAGGAGATGGTCAAGAAGGAGCTCGCCGCCAGGGCGCGCGGCGAGTAATTCGCGCTACGACTCTTCAACTCTCCAGGCCAACGGGGCGGCCTCGGGATAACAAAATGGTCGTGGCGGATATGCCGCCTCGTGGCGGATATGCCGCCTTGTAGCGCAGCCTTCTCGCCTTCCAACTCGTGGCGGACATGCCGCCCCCGCCCCACCCCTTTGCGCTCCTCCGCCCTTCAGGCGGACATGCCGCCGCCCACCTCCCCTAATCGGCCCACTCCGCGCCCCCGCGCCACGTCCCTGCGCCCCCCTCTCCGCTGTCAGGCACTGATCCCACGCCAACTAACGTCGGGGAGACGCCCACTGCTCGAACGGCGAAGGCGTTCACCCAGAATGGCATGGGCGCGCGCGAAGGCACCGACGTTGCCACCGCCCGTTCAACGACGAAAACAAATGAACCAAGACCTGCACATTCAAAGGGACGCCAGTTCACTTATATTTCTGGTTCCCAATGCCACCCTCACTCTGCCCCCTCCCCCGAGACCCCGTCGCAAGAACCAGCGGGGCCCTTCTGAGAGGCCCCCGAGGGCTCGAGGAGCTCCAAGACTTCAATGGGTCCATGGGCAACCCCCTCCCCCTCCTCCCGAAGTCCCGCTTCCGCGTCCGATTCCATTTCGGTTCAAGCCCGCGGCCCGCGGGTGCCCGCGAGCCCGCGCGGGGTCGGCCCCCCCCTTTCGCGCCGACGCGTGGGCTGGGGCCCGCGCGCCGAGGCTGCGCCGCAGCCGCCGCGTCGCGCTCGGCGCCTCGCACTGCGGCCGCGGCCATGGCAGACAGCGACAGCGCGTTCGACGCGTTGGAGGCAGCTGCATCGCAAAAACAAGTGGCCCCGCGTGCGGTAGCCAGGGACGCGCGCATCGCGCGCGAAACTGGCTGGCCGCTCTCGGTCGAACTGTTTTGGCGATTCGGCGCAGGAGATGTTCGGGCCAGCGATGCAGTTGCTCTCCGACCTTGCGGGCGTGGACAACAACGCAGGGGATCGGTCTTCCTCCGCCAGCGGCAGTCGGCCAGCCAGCGCGCCCACGTTGGCGGCGCAGCCAGCGCGATCGCGCAGCCCGCGCCACCCGCGGGCTCCGTCGACGCCGCCGCGCAGGCGGGGGCCGACGTCACCGCCGCGGGACCCGCGGCAGCGGCCTTTCCCGCCCTCGGCTCTCGTGAAGGAGCTCGCGTCGCACATGCGGGGCGCGACGCCTGTGGTGGAAGAGCCCCCCGAGGCGGTGGAGGCGCATCCAGCGCGGTGGAGGCGTTCAGGGCGCAGCTGCGAGCCTGGCTGAGCGACCCCGTTGGGAATCCCATCGACTGGCGGTCGGAGACCGTGCTCGCCGTGCTCAAGGAGTACCAGATGAAGTACGACTACAAGAAGTTCCGCGACCGCGGCCCGCCTGGCCCCGCCATGGGCGGGCCGCAGACGTGGCAGGGCCAGGCGTGGCGCGCCAATGCGAAGCGCTGGGGGAACCGAGGTGGCGCAAAGCGCGAGATGTTCGCGAAGCTGCACGGCAACAAGGCAGCGCCGCGGGTGCGCGAGGCGCACGTCCCCAAGCCTCAGCTGATGCATCGGGAGCCCATGGCGCCGAACTTGCCCAAGACGATGCCTCAGCAGGCGCCGTGGAGGACTGGCAATATGAACCCTCCAGCTCCGCCTCCGCCGCCGAAGACCATGGGGCCGCCGCCGCCGAAGACCAGGCAGCCGCCAGCAGGGAAGCCCAGCATGGTGCAGCCGAGGGCAGGGCGCCGGCTGCAGCCGACAAGCAAGATGGCACCACCGCCAGCGAAGCCGCGCCCGCCCGCCCGCGGAGATGTCTTCTTGTAGGGTGATCGCGTGGACCTGCAAACGGGCTGGGGTGCATAGCTTCCGTAATTCGAGCGCGGATAGTTGCAGCTATCCGCGCTGACGCGTCATGACGCGCCGCCTCTCCCCGCCTCGTCTCATCTCATCTCTCCTCCCCTCTCTTCGTTGCCGATCTATCTCATTTGCGGACGCGCCGCCTCCCCCCGCCTGGCGGACAACCGCCGTTCAGATACGAGCATCGGCGCATCGGGTTTGTTCTATGCGGTTGGAAAAAAACACCAGTCCTTCCCTGAGCCACCCATTGGCGGCTAAACCGCCCTGAAGCCTCCATTGGCGGCCACGCCGCCCATTGGCGGCTAAACCGCCCATTGGCGGCCACGCCGCCCTGCGCCCTCCATTGGCGGCTAAACCGCCGCCGCCGCCTGCTGGCATCCCGAAATGTGCGATGCCACCGCGCCTCTTACACATGTATGTTTTTGTTGTTGGGACGCTGTATCGGCTCGAATCTAGGCGCGCACAAGCTCGCGCCCCACGCCGCCCCTGCGCTAGCCGTGCACTTCTCGCCCTGCCGCCATGGCAGGCCAGCAGGGCGAGAAGACCGTCATGTTCGGCTTCAAGGGCCCACAGAGCAGCAGCTGCAAAAGGGGCGGCAAGTGGTTCCAGGGAGAGACAGTGGAGGCGGCCAGGAACAAGCTGGTGAACCACCTTCGCGTGTCGCCGTACCACGACTTGAGCGAGGACGAAGCGGAGGTAGCTGCTGTCGCACTCGAGCCCGGCTCGTGGGAAGTCGACCTCGCGGAGTGGCGCCAATGGGAGGAGGAGAAGGCCAACTGGGGCTCCGCCAAAAGGCGCAAGGGGGCGCCGAAGGTCGAGCTGGCGCCAATCCCTCCCCAATCCCGCGTGGAGCGCTCGCACCAGCTGAAGGACGCGTTCTCGGAGGGCAGCGGATCGTCAGGCGCAGCTTCGTCAGCCACGGCGGGCATGAGGATGTCCACGGCGTTGGCCAGCCAGATGTCGCCCGTTAGCATCGTGGTGCTCAACGGCACCCAGTGCCAGGCTGTGCTCGACTCGTTGCGCCGCGCGCGTACTGCGACGCAGATGTGCGCCCAGATAGCGGAGCGCGCGGTGATCGCTTTCCGCCAAGAGGAGCAATGCATCGCCGAGTGCGAGGACGTGCTCGCGAGCTGGCTGGTGCGCAACGCGACCTCGTAGGTGCAGGTGCACGGCTGGCAGCACTGATGTCGCCTCAGCATCAGTAGCCTCATTCGCGCAGGCGGCGCGACGCGTCGGCCCTACACGCCCCCCTCCCACTCCTCCAACGCAAATTCAATCCACACCCCTGTGTCAGAACAAATTAGGACACCCCCACACACTCCATCCGCACTCAATTCGTGAAGGCCGCCACGCCGAGGTGAATTTTGGCCACGCAGGCGGCCGAGTAGCCGTCCCCCAATGCAAGGCGATATGGGGGCGAGTGGACGAGCGGAGCGGGAGGAAGGTGAGGGAACTTCGGCGGGTAAGACAGGTGGGCGGTTGGATGGGATTTGGCAAAAGGGCTGGGTGGAGAAAACTGCATCCGCATAAGAATGAGTGCGGCTATTTTCTGGATGTGCTGCATCGCCATGTCCGCCCACCCCCCCATCGCCTTGCATATGATGACGCTCAGGCAGCGCGCCCCGATTGCGCGCGCTCGCCCGTCTCTTCGCTGCCGCTCCGGCAGCGCGCCTCGCTTCCGCGCTCGCCCGTCTTTTCGCTGCCGCTCAGGCAGCGGTTTGAAGCACGCGGCGCCGTCCGCGGTCGGTAGCGCAGGGCGCCGCTCCGCCCCTGCTGCTCCGCTTAACTAACTCGGCGGACGTGCCGCTACGCCGCCGCCATGCACTGGCAAAAAATAGTTGGCTGTTATCATATGTTAGCAGATGTTATCACGCGCCTGATAACACCTGATAACACCTGATAACACCTGATAACATGTTATCAGGTGTTATCATGTGTTAGCATGGTGTTATCACACGCCTGATAACAGATGATAACATATGATAACATGATGTCAATTTTGTGTGGTTGTCATGTTGCGCGCAATTCATTTCAGTATCCGTATCACCTCGTGCGTCCGCCACGCTTCGGGCGGCTAGTCCGCTGGCGGCCAATCCGCCTCCCTCGCCGCGCCCCTGCACCCTCTCAAGCGGCGAGTCCGCTGGCGGATATGCCGCCCCCTTCATACCTCACTCCACCCCTCCCTCCACCTTTGAATCGGCTATTCCGCTGGCGGCTATCCCGCCTCATTTACCGCGCGTTTTCTTCGTCATCGCTTCGCGTCCAGCTCATCTTGGCATCAGGGCCGCGCGCGACGCGCGGCTTCTCGCGTGCCAAGGCGGTCACGCCGCCATGGCGGGGACGCCGCCCGCTGAAGATCACCAGCAGCATTCTCTGGCAGTGATGTTCGGAGCAGCCAGGCCGAAAAACAAGGGAGTGATGACCAAGGCGCCCGCAGCGAAGCCCCGGGGGAAAGCTAAGCTATCGGGGACGCAGATGACACTGACTGGACAGCTTGTGCCGCCGCTCGCATTGACCGACGCAGGGCCGCCGAAGGCACGCGGGAAAAGCAAAGGCAAGGGCAAAGGTAAGCACCCCGCAGCGTTGAGGACGGCTCGCAAAGCTGCGTCAGCCGCAGCTCCCGCCGAAGAACTGCCTCCTCTGGGCGCAGCGGCTTTGCCACCAGAGCCGGACGACGCAGCGTCAGAGGCGGCATCGGGCTCCGAGGAGCGCGGCGACGAGATTGGTTCCGAGCTCGGCGTCAAACAGGATGAGCTTGAGAGTGCCTAGCGTGAGCTTGAGGAGGAAGAGGCTCCACCGCAGGGCGCGGTAGCCAAGGTTGAGAATGAGGAGCGCTCGCCCGAGGCGGCAGCGCCGCAGGCGGAGGAGGAGGAGGCAGCTCAGGACGATCCGCCAGCAGGCGCTCCCCATGTAGGGGGGTTCGTGGATGTGCATGGCATCGGGCATAGCATCGTGCGTTGCAACCGCTGCTGTCGCACGGCAAAGGAGTGCAACTACAGGATCAGGGCGAAGGGCCAGTCGACTTACCAGTGCGACGCGTGCAACAACACGAACGGGGTGCGCCTTTCTCGGAGGTTCGGACAGTGGCCGCCGAAGTGTTTCGCCAAAATGAAGAGTGAGTTCAAGCAGCAGTTCTACAAGGATCTGGCAGAAGATCCTGGGCTGTCGAACCTCGATCGCCTTGAAGCCTTCGTGGTCAGCTCAATCACTGTCCAACGGATGGAGGAGGAGCGCGTCCGCAAGGGTGGCAAGTACCTTCCGCTGAGGAAGTGGGCGCACGACGGCTTCGACGCGAAAAAGATTGAAGATAATGTGCAGGAAAAGAGGTGGAACCCTGATCTCGGGGAGTGGACGTACAGGCCGCAATTGGAGGCGGCCTGGAGCGAGACAGTGGAGGCCGCAGTGCGCAACGAGCTGTACACCGATAAGAGGACGCAGGCGAAGCAGAGCGGCCCGCGGGCAGCGGCCTCGACGGGCGTCGCAGAGCACGGCGGCGACAAGGGCGACAGAAGCGACGAGAGCGACAGGTCCAGATCCAGGCGGCGCCGCAGGCGCAGGTCTGACAGCCGCAGGAGGAGGAGGCGCAGCATGAGCAGGCGCGACAGCAGGGGCAGGCGCGACAGCAGGAGCAGACGCCGCGACAGACGTCGCGACACCAACCGCAGCAGGAGCCGCTCGCGCGGCGACCGCGACAGGAGCAAGAGCCTCCGCAAGGGCAGGAGCAAGAGCCGCGGCAAGAGCAAGGACAGGAGCAAGAGCAGGCCGTTTGGGGGTTCAACGCAGGGGTGTCGCCTGGCTTCGCATTCGTTTTCGGTTTCCGTTCAACTCTTCAGGTTCGGATCGGGTTATTGATTTCGCTCGGCTCGAAGTGTTGTCATTTTCGGACAACCCCGAAGGCTCCGCAGGGATAAGGACGCTGAGAAGGAGCGGAGGCGACTGGAAGCGAGGGAGAAGGCCGAGCAGGCCAAGAAGGAGACGCAGGAGAAAAACCTGGCGCTGAAGTGGATCGGCACCGCAACGAGGCTCGAGACAGAGCTGGACGGGTACCTCGAGCATGAGAAGGCGGACAAGGTGCCGTCAGGGGCTGTGAAGAACGCGAAGGCGGCGAGGAAGTCTGTGGCAGTCATGAAGGCGGTGGCGCAGAAGCGCGTGCACAGCGGCGTGGCGTTGACGATCACGCAGGACGAGGCCATCATCATCCAGAAGGATGCGAGCTCGGCGGCGAGGGCCATCGCGGGGATGCTCAAGGAGGCGCAGAAGCACAGCACCTGGGCGCCCCATGGTGGCCCAGTACATCATGAAGTACGGCCTGAAAAAGGTGGAGAAGGACCCGAATAAGCCGCGGCCGCTGGGCCGCTCGTGAGCAGGGGCGGCAGTTGGGCCGCTCCTGACGAGGTGTGTGATTTCGTACAATTGTTATTGTTGGTGAAACAACATTTCCTCCGCCACCCCACTCGTTACCACCGCAGCCCTTCGTTTGGCGGGGATGCCGCCTTTCCACTCTCGCAAGCCCTTGGCGGACATGCCGCCTTGCCTTCTTTTGGCGGAGATGCCGCCTTTGCTGCTCATCGCGCTCCGATGCCTCACTTGGCGAGGCGAAGCGCTTGCCTAACTCCCTCCTGCTCGAGCGCGTCCTGCCCGAGACCCTACCGCGCGAGCTGGGGCTCGCGAAGGCCAGCGACACCGTTGGGAATCCCATCGATTGGCGGTCGGAGACGAAGCAGAGGCGAAGCAGCTCCTTGGCAGGGGCGGCAGTTGGGCCGCTCATGACGAGGTGTGTGATTTCGTATAATTGTTATTGTTGTTGAAAAAAAACATTTCTTCGTTGCCATCGCCACCCCACTCGTTACCACCGCAGCCCTTCGTTTGGCGGGGATGCCGCCTTTCCACTCTCGCATGCCCTTGGCGGACATGCCGCCTTGCCTTCATTTGGCGGAAAATAGAAGTAAAAATAAAGGGAACACACATGAAAAAAGAAAAAACAAATAGAAATAGAATAAAAAACAATGAGAAGAAATTAAAAATTAATTAAAGAAAAAAAAAAAATAAAAAAAGCAAAAACGAAAATGCCCGCCTTTGTTTGCTGCCCACCGCGCTCGAACCGTTCTCTCGCGTTTCCCAATGACATGATCTGCCACCGTCCCACCCCTCATCCGTAGTCTTTGTGGCTCAAGTGGAGCCGCTCGAGGTCGTGCCCCTTCGCGGTCTTGCGCCGCCATGGCGAGCATCGCGGACAAGTTCGACGTCGATGACTTCGAGCTCATCACGGGTGGCAGTGCGTGGAGCTGGGCGACCATCGTGGTGCGCTTCATCGAGTGGCGCAATCGTTGCCGCCATGCACGCGCCGTTGGCATCAAGGGCCTGATGCTCATCGACAAGGCGCGGCGCATGATGGAGGAGGCGCGCCGCACCGAGGAGCGCGGCAAGATGCTGTGCCAGATGTCGAAGCAGATGGTGCAGGACATCCCAGGCGGCATTCGTTTCTTCTGCCGCCAGCCGCACCAGGAGAGCTGAGCGGCGATCGGCTGGGCCGATAGAGGAGGATAAGGAGGAAGAGGAGGCAGGATGAGGAGAGGAGGTGGAGGTGGATGAGGAGTTGGAGGCAGCACGCGCACCCGCACTAAGAGCCGCCAGCCGCCGCCGCGCCCGTCCCGCGCTGCGCCCGCCCCGAGCTCGAGCCGCCAGCCGCGCCCGTCTCCGAGCGCTGGCGGCTTGGAACCCGAGCTTGAAACTCAAGCTCGAAATTGCGTGCGAGAAAAAGAATTCTCCCTTGCAAGTTCCGTTGCTACGCTCACTTCGCGCCTCCGCAATCTCCCCCACCCACCCCCCTCCCCCCTCCCCCCTCCCCCCATGCCCCCTCGCCCCCACGCTCTTCGGCGGCTACGCCGCCCCTCCCGACCCTTCAGGCGGCTACACCGCCATGCCCTTCGGCGGCTACTCCGCCCCGCGTTCCATTCCCGCCTCCACTTCCGTCTCTCTGGCTGCAATTCGTTTTTCTCAACCGCGCTGGGCCTCGCGCTGCCCCCCGCCCCCGCCCCTCCCGCGCGCGGGCGTCGGCGCAATGGGGAAGCGCGCCCTGCAGGTGGACAAGCAGGTGGAGCAGCGGGCTCGACTGCAACAGTGTCTGGCCCTGCGCGGCGCGTCCGCGGCTTTGCTCGAGCGAATCGTGACTGCGCTTGGCCATGGCGACGACGCGGGCGATGCTATAGACGTGAGCGCTCGGGCCATGCAGCGATCGCAGACGGCGTCCGTGGCCGATCTCATCAGCGCAGTGCGGCTGCAGCCCAAGATCGGCACGCCTTTCCGATGGAACGTGGCGCTGCCGCATCGGCTGATGCCGAGGCCCCTGTCGGACTGCCCTCTCTGGAGTTCAATGTTTTGGGAAGCGATGCGCCGTTTCCCTGTGTCGCGCGATCGGCCGTGGAGGCTTTTGCTGTACTACGACGACATTGGCGTGGGCAACGCCTTGAAGATAGATAATCGTCGGAATCTGCTCGCGGTGTATGCGAGTTTCCTCGAGTTCGGATCCTTCTTGCAGAAGGAGGTTGCGTGGCTGCCGATCGGCACCTTGCGCGTCGTCGTGAAGAAGAGCATCGGCGGCTCGGCCGTGGCGCGGGCATTGCTTCGCGCGCTGTTCCTGGGCCCAGAGAGTCTGTCGGAGCACGGTGCGCCAATCGGCGGCGTGCACTTTTTCGCCAAGTTCCACCGCTTGATTGCAGACGAGGCGGCCGGAAAAGAGACATTCTGCACCAAGGGCGCTGCAGGTCTGAGACCGTGCTTGCAATGCAAGAACGTTGTGCTGGATCAGGCGGAATGTCTTGCAGACTACGACGACGATGATTACCTCGTGCCTCTCTGGTGCGCTGACTCGTCGCGCTTTGACCCGCTGTCGTCAGACGAGATTTTGCAGCAATATGATGATTTGGCGTCGCTGCGGGACACGACAACCAGAGCGAACATCGAGAGACTGGAGCCAGGGAGGAAAACATTTCCATCGATCCCCTTCTGATGTCCCCCCCTTCCTTCCCTTCTGATGTTCCGGCCCCCGAAGGAGACGGCAATGGGCATCACTCTGGATGACCGTTCTCAGGTGGCGTGCCAGGCGTTGCGGACGGTGGCGCCGCCGAGCACATACGTGAGGGACCCCATGCATACCATGCTGGCCAGCGGCGGGACCTTGCAGGTCGAAATCGTTGCGCTCCTCAAGGCGGTGAGGGATGTCATCCCCGACGCGTGGGGAACGTGGCGGGATCGCTGCTCGGCGTGGCGGACTGGCAGACGCGGCAGGAAACCGCCAGCGTTTCTGTTCAGAGTGGCTCGGAAGAAAGCGACCTGCAAGGCGTCGCACTTCGTGGGCAAGGCGTCGGATTGCTTGGCCGTGTTCCCTTTGATTCGTCATTGGGTGCACACAGAGCTGCGCCCCAGCGGCATGGCGAACGCTGCGGCGCGGTCGTTCGAGGCGATGGCGAAGATGCTCGAATTGTACATGCAGGGCAAAAGGACCTGCGGCCGCAGCTGAAACGCAAACGCTGGCCTGCGCGTTCGAGGATGCACCGCGTCGGCCCGCGCGCATCCTCGAGCGCTTAGGTGGCAGGCGGTTCGGCTACGTCCTGAGGATCGGCGCCGTGCCGAATTTGATAGCTGTCTGGACCAAGGCCGTTTCGATTTCCTTGGCGCTGCACAATGCCGCGCACGGGCCAGCCCTGATCAAGCCGAAGCATCATTATTTGTGGCACGTCCCCGACCAGCCTGCGGAGGACGGCATCTGGTTGGACGCCTTCGTACTCGAGCGGAAGCACAACCTGCTTCGGTCCAGGTCGCAGGAGATCGACAACCCTGAGAATTTCGAGCGTTCGGCCTTGACGGCGATGCTCGCCTGCTTCCTGGAGGAAGCGAAGGAGGCGCCGCGCTCCCGCGCCAAAGCGTGGCGCACGCCAGAGCTGGACAGTACGTTCGGGCACTCGGGGCGCAACCTTGCATGCCCTTTGTGGAGGAAGATGGGCTGGGAGAGGGGAAGGCGGTTTGCCGCCGTGGCGGCTCGCCGCCAGGAGGAGGAGGAGGAGGAGGAGGAGGAGGAGGAGGAGGAACCCCTCCGCAGGGCTGAAACGTGGACCAGCAGAGAGGCGTCGATCGACGGCCAGACGCACGGCAGCCAGGACAGACGGCGCAACCAACCTTGGTATTTAGGGGTGCACATGCGTGTGCCCCCCAAAAAATCGAGGCGCTGCTGCCCTCAGGATTTTCTCCTGGGCGACGGCGAGGCGTACATCGTGCATTGCTGCGCGCAGGCTGGCGCCGCCAGCTACCTGCTGGTGGAGACCCTGGAATGGGTGCGCGCGCCATGCCCAGGCGCGTCCCAGTGGCGGCCGCGCGGCGACGTCGCCGTGATGCCCGCCGAGCTGATCCCGCCAGCCTGGGCGGCTTATCGGCGACTACAGGACGATGGCTATGTGCTCGCCATCACGTGAAAAAGGAAAAAACGAGCGCATGCGAGAGCGGATATGCCGCTGGCGGATGCGCCGCCCTTCGATAGAGAGGTGCAGGAGGGTGGGGCGGATATGCCGCCGAAGAAGGAAGGCGGGCTCGGGGAGGGAAGGCGGCAGGAGGGAGCGGGGGCGGGCTGGCCGCCGACAACGAGGAGAGGAGAGGGGAGGCGGTGATGGCCGCCGAGGGGAGGCAGTTTGAAGAAGAGTTGATCCCCCCCCCTCTCCCTCTCCCCCCTTCCCCTCCGCGCCCCGCAGGCGTCCTGAGGGCGGCTCGGCGCGTCGACCTGCGGCGCCCTGTCCTGAAAAACTGTTGTGTTGTAGTTGTTAAAACGTTGTTTGTGGTTTTTTCCCGAAACATAGCAATATCAAGAACAAACATGCAAAACATAGAAAGTTATGCAAATTTCGGGTTAACCGAATCGGACAGCCCACATCGACTTAGCTGACTTAGCTACTAAGGTGGGTATGTTGAGGTGTATGTATCGATATATCTTGGCAGTGGTACCCGATAGCTCAGTTGATAAGATGGATGGTTCTGTGAGTAGTATGTATGGTATGTTGTTGAATATACTTATCTAACAAAACGTTAAGTAGATGAATTCGAAGTTCGATATTTTATATATGTTGAATATGTGAGGTCAACTAGCATGAACCTACATACATCTTCGTTGAAACGATTTCATCGGATATACAACGCTCTTACCGCACTTACACCCACCCGACGATCAAAGTACCCTCCAGGGATCTCCGGCCTCCGCCGGGCCCAGGCTCAGCTGCTGCGCGCCG